GTGTTGCCCTAACAGCCCCCCCCTTTCAACCTGCTTGCCCTTCCCTTTTCCTCCTGCTGTCCCACCTGGAGCCATGATGTGCCCTGCCCACCCCCAGGCTGACTGATCTGCCATCCCATCCCTCTGCCCAACCTCCTACACTTCATCTTCCATCCCTTCCCTATCTCCTCTGTTCTCCCCATCCTCCCATTCATCCAAACAATCAACTTCTCTTGCTTCCCCACCTCCTTTGGTCTTTTCTCCCTTAGGCTTGTGGACAGGGCAGCCCACTGCACTGTGACCAAACTCTTTGGACTTTCTCTCATCCCTGCAGCACTTGGCACACCATTTCTTGCAGCAAGCTTGGCAACCTGGTCCCTTGCAGAGAGGATGCTTGGGTCCTCCCTCTCAGGGACCATTTGCCAGTTGGCTCAAGCCTACTGGGCTTGAACTCCATTGTGCCTGGGCTTTGTCAACCATGTGCTGGAGTTTGATGATGTCATCTGGGTGCAGCCTCTGGGTATGAAATCAGAAGCTCTTTGGGTTATGTTTCTTACACTGCATGAACAATGTCAGTGTAGTTTGAACTACAGGGTGCAGAACTTACAAGGGTGTATACAACCCCATACTTCTCTGCCTTCCCCCCCTTTCTGTCCAAATGCACTAGAGGCACCAGTGCTTCAGAACATCTGGGTTCCAAACACTGGATTTTGGCCCCAATGTGCTTCACCTTCTTCCCTTCTGGCAGTTGGGCATTCCCAAGCTTGATGACATCCCACACAAGTGATTGGGCGATGAGAGACATAGGCATCTTGACGAAGTGGAAAACTGGGGCAGGGGGAAAGGGACACACAGTCACAGTTCATTTCTCAGGTGATGGGGGGGAAAGGTGCAAAACTACATGATGCAAGTATTTATTTAACAGCATGGAAAAATTTGCACATACTGACACACAGGAAAGCAGATCTCCTGGTGATCCCAGCAAACTGCTAGGCCAATCATGATTGGCCTAATGGTTTCCAAATTGGGAAACATCATTCACCTATTCACGCAAGTCCAGTCATCCATCAAGGTTGACGGGCAAGTCATCTGCGCTCTACATTGTAAGGCATGCCATCCCTTGTATTGCACAGAACTATCTACAGAATCACAAGTTATGGATGGTGGATATTAGACTACTGTCAGAAATCAGCCTATGAGACATCAAATGGTTGCATGACATTGCTCACCCATTAAATCCATCCAACCCAATCGGTACACACCTACATAATTGACATACCAAGATGGGAAGAGGAAAGATCACAGTCATACAACAGATGCATAAAGCAACTACTAAACATGAGGAGAGAAAGCAGCAAATGAAATGAGGACCATTAAGAAAGGAGCAGCGACCTTCCCCTCAGCTTTTTAAGCACCAGGGCATCTGGCAAAGACTCCAAATGCTGCAGCAGCCATTTGCGCCATTTTGCCATGTCAGCTGTTATCATGGTTGAATGGGTGTAGCCTCAGGCAATCACAAACACATGCATGGCAATGAACAGACCAAATCACTTCCATTGGTCTGCAATGGAACCTGACCTGCTGTTAGACTCCAGGTCTCCAATGACCATCCCATCAAGCTCACCTTGGCATTATGCCCTTTCCATCCTTCCCAACCAGGTAATGGCTTGCTTTTCTCCGCAGCAACCTCCCAGATCCACTCCACCACACATTGCGTGCTCTATGTATCCAGTGAGCTGAATGCAATACAGACTATCAATGACAAAACATACCATGATATGATCATGCCAGCTGCCCATCCTCAACAAATCATACATGGTGATGTACTTGCAAAGCCAGTCAACATGAATAAGGATCCAGTGGTTGTTGTTGATATGCATTGGGAACAACCATTGTGTCCTTGCTCAAGCTGTCATGTACTCAGACACTGCACTACTGACCCAGTTCACCACCCACTTCACGCCCCAGTTGTTGATGGCATATGCTTCCCTGTTTGCATAAGCCTTCTCTGCCTGCTGAAGCTGAGGTCCCAGTTGTGAACTGAATGCATACACCTCTTCATCTGGCTTGGAACACAAGTTGGTATAGGACTTTGCATTTGGCCACTGAGCAGCAAACAGTCAACATGGCTGGGACAACAGGAATCCATTCAGCCACTGGTAGCATTTGGCCAGAATGGCGATGTCTGACTTCTCAATCTCAATCTGGAACACTTTTGTGGTCCATATCTTGTTGTGGGGCAACAGCTTTCAACGTCCCATGGTGTAGGGAAGCTGGGGACACCATGAGTCTCCCCTGCCCAACTGCTGGGCTGTTCCCTTCTCAAACTCCAAGAATGCTGCAGCCTGATTGGCGACAGACAATTCTACAACAGGAGCTGGGGGGGAGAAGGTCTCAGGAGCAGGCATTTGCATGGGCGCTGGTGGCTCAGGCATTGGCACTTGACCAGGCAAAGGAGGATCAACATAATAAGACAGTTAGCTCCAACCTTGCTTGACCACTGGGACAGTGGGTGGTGGTGTCAAATACCCACACTCATATATGTTGTCATCTTTGTCCTCAGCATTCCCCATTTTGACATCTTCAACCACAGCCTGTTTGTCTTTGGCATATTGTGGTGGAGGTCCCAGGTCGATCTCTGCTGAAAGTGGGGGATGGTCCGAGGCAGGGGGGGTCTGCAATGGGATGGGTGCGATGTGCTCCATCTCAATGATGTTATGAGCATGGGTAGCACCAAAGTCATCCTGCATATTGGCAGCATGCCAGGAAGCCTGCAAGTCACCAGTTTCATGCTCGCTGCCCATCAATCTATGACAGGCAGGGTACATGTGATGTTCTTCCTCACATGATCTGGGTGAGCATGAATGAGACTCATGACTGCTTTGAGAGGGGGAGTGGCGAGAATGCGAAGGCAAGCGAGGGTGGCAATAACAACCAGGAGAACAAGAGCAAGGACAATGGTATCAACTAGAAGACCAAGGACAACAGTAACAACCAGAAGATGGAGAGCAAGAATGGCAGGAATGATAATGGCCAGGAGAGCAAGAGTGATAATGAGGTTTACCATGTGAGCAAGAGCAATAACGAGGTCAACTGCATCAGCCTTCCCACTCCTCACAGTCATAGTGATTGGTTTGGTGCCAGTAATACTGTGAGGACATTGAAGGGGACATGCAACCAGGGCATGCAGATTTGTGTGCCTGCCAGCAGGCAGGAGATGTGGTTGGATGATTCCAGACCGAGGCAGTTTGGCTAGCAGGCATTTCCGGATTGCAGTCATGGCCTTGAGAGGATGGAATATTAGAGGGCAGCTGAGGATGGTGTGGCAAATGCAAGGAGTGGCCTGGAGCACTGAGCCCATCAAGGGGGGTCACCATTTGCTCATTTTCCAGAAGCTGCAGTAATTCATCAAATGTACCAACCAGCTGCATTGTGTGAGAGATGTTTGACCGAAGATCTCCTGTGTCAACCTGGAACTGTTGATTCACCAGGCACTGCACAAACAAGCCATCAAGGAACATCAGGAAACGGAATTCTTCAAGGTTGCTGGGGATGCTGGAGATGGATTTTGGGTGGAAGAATGACAAGCTGTAATCCCAGTGATCCAATGCTGGTTCTCTTCTCTATTGAGCCATGGGCAAAGTTTGTTCCCAGGCAATCACTTTGCTTGGAAGGCCACCGCTTGTCCAATTGCCAAGCCCATAAGGCATTACAACCTGGTCCAACAGGGCGAACAGAGACTTGTAGCACTGGAGGTTATGCATGAGGTTCACATGCAATCAGTATTGCTGGTAAATCTCCAGGAGAGTGCAATTTTCCTGCTTGGGTGCCAGCGCCCCCTGAGTGAGCCAACATCCTGCGATGGGTGAGTAATGACAATCAAGTTTGTAATGGTGAAAATACTCACCCCTGCAAAAACACCACTCCCAAAGATACAGCTGCCAACACAACAGGAATTGAATCCAGGCAAAGCACAAACTGATTGACACTTGAATGCAGTTATTGAATTTGACCTGCCTTGCCTTCCACTTGCTGGTGGTAGCTGCATGCCCATGGAACAACATGTTGAGGGCAATGTGTGGACCCAAACGCTGTCAAACCAGGTTTTCCACACTGTCACCTAAACCTCCAGGGCAATTGTAGCCAGACCGCTGTGGGATGGGATCATATGACAAGGCTTCCATTGCAGCATCTGTACCGGGAGGGAGCCAATAATGGTTGCGCTCCCAGGGGTGCTGATTTGTAGACAGCATGTACTGCCTGTGTTTTTTGCCCATGATACACATGGCAAAGTGTTATCTACCCAGATGGAGACAGGGGAGGGACTGGTGGGAGTGCAAGGGGTGGAGGTGGGTTTGGTGGACATTTCACAGGTGTGGGAGGGAGTAGTGGAAGTGGATGGGATGAGCACTGTGTGAGCAGTTTCTTGGTCTTGGCCCACAGGTAGCATATGCAGGGGGGGGGGAAGCATTTCAACAGGATGACGACTGGGCAAACAGTGCCTCAATATCTTGACCTGTTGCTCAAAGGAAGCATGAGGCTGAGAACAGGTACTGGCACTTCACCAACACTAACACGCAGGCAAACACTGCTTGGAGGAAGTGTGAGGCTGTGCACAGGTACTCATGCTTCACAAACACTATCAAAAAGGGGCACTTGAGGGAGAGGGCTAGTTTGAGTTCAAGTTCAATGTGAAAGGAGGTGCCATCTTGCATGCGAG